TAGAGAAAAGTCCGATGGTAACTGATAGTACCGAATCCCTGGGTGAAATAACCCAGGGCGGGTTGGACTCTCCCACAGTGCACAGAAAAGGACCCTTCAGGTAAGCCAATGGGCATTTTCCTGTGCACTGCTTGGAGAGTCCAAGCAATGGGACATACCCAAGTTACGTGTCACTAGGACGGGAAGAAAGTCTGTCAGGGGATTTGATCATGCAAACAACCCCTTGGAGAACCCACTTGCCGAACTATGCTTCGGCTGAAGCAAACATGTCCAATTTATAGTGTCTGACAAAGGGCGACGGAGATGACCACATAACCTCTCCACAGATGTTGTCTATGGTAGCCTGGGTTGCCCAGGCCGCCGTGGTGGCAGCGCTCTTCGTAGAATGAATGGTGACGTTCCGAGGAACAGTTCTGGATTGATGCTAATAGGCAGCCACAATGCATGCTCTCAGCCACTTGCCGATAGTAGCAGAGGACACCTTACCCATGGACCCTGTCTGGAATGACAGGAAGAGGGCCTCCAATCTGCGGAAGTCCACTGTCCATTTTAAGTATCTTCGCAGAGCCTGTCTCACGTCCAGCGTGTGCCAGATGCGTTCCCTCGGATGCCTGGGATGCAGGCAAAAGTTCAGTAATATGATCTCTTGCGCCCTATGGAACCAGGTGTTGATCTTTCAGATGAAGGCCGGGTCCAGGCGCAGGACAACTCTATCCAGATGGATGATACAAAGGTCCTTGCAGACCGATAGAGCCGACAGCTCAGATATGCGCCCCGTAGATGTTATTGCGACAAGGAAAACTGTTTTGAGAGTTAGGTGTCGAAGGGAAGCAGTACTCAGCAGTTCGAAGAAAGCTGAAGTGAGAGCCTGAAGGACTACAGATAGTTGTCAGTCAGGTATTGGTGGACCACCAGAGGGTGTAAATTGGAAGTGCCCTTAAGGAAACACCTAATCCTCGGGCTCCTGCTGAGGGGCTGGGCTGAGGTCCCTGACCAAACGGTGGATAAGGCAGCTACCTGGCAACGGAGGGTGTTAAGAGCAAGTCCCTTGTCGAGGCCCTCCTGAAGAAGTCCAATACACGGGGAACCGGTGCTGTGACTGAATTAATTGGAGATTGTCACAGCACTTGGCGAAGCTGGACCATGTGGAATCATAAATTCGGGTCATCGAAGTACGCCTGGATGGTATGTATCACCTCCTCCGAAAGGCCGTCCCTCCTCAGGAGGTCCCCCTCAAGTGCCAGAAGGCCAACTGGAGCCACTGGGGGTCCGGATGAACTATGGCCCCCTGGCTGAGGGAGACCTGACCCTGAGGGATTCACCACGGGCTGGACACCGACAAGCTGACAAGGTTGGCGTACCAGGACTTCCGAGGCCAGTGAGGTGCGACCAACAGTACCACCACCCAATGATTTTACAGATCACTTGTGGTAACAGGGGCAGAGGCAGGAAGGCATATAGCAGCT